AGGAAGGAAGGAAGGAAGGAAGGAAGGAAGGAAGGGAGGGAGGGAGGAAGGAAGGAAGGAAGGGAGGAAGGAAGGGAGGAAGGAAGGGAGGGAGGGAGGGGGAGGCAGGCAGGCAGGCTCACAAAATTGAAAACTCCAAGGATAACTTCAGGCCTGGCTGGACCCAGGTGCTCCAACAATGCAACCAGAAATCTATTCCTGAGCTGCGCCTGCTTTTCTTTTGTCACCACTCTCCTGGTTGTGATCAAGATGACACCAACGGCTTCGGGTTTGCATTTGACTCGTTTCTTCCTCCCTTGGAAAAAGATGGACTTTGTGTCCAACCATTGAATGTCCCAGATTTGTCCTGCCTGGGTCGCATACTCATCCTCAATCCAAACAGACCCATTCGTTGCAAGGACTGAGTCTCTCTCTCCCTCCCAAGAACCAGGGCTGTAAAGTGGCCGTGTAGGGCTTCAAACCCAGATCTACCCCACTGCAGAGCCTGCAGGCTCCCAAGGGCCGTAAGGTTGATGGAAGGGGAGGAGGAGACGGGACGGGGAGTCGGGGGGCTGGGATTAGAGATAGAGAGCCAGGATTACAGGCAGGAGCCATCAGTACCTGGCTTTGGGTTCTTAATGTCTCCTACCCTCAGAGCAGGTGTTTACTTCCTTGTGTCTCCTTTGCACCATAGCAGCCCATTCCCCTCTCCTAGCTCTGTGAACCTGGACTGCTGTATTTCCTGGACTCACGTGTATCTCATGCTGGCTGGGGGCCAGGCCAGGAGTTGGGTGAAGAAGTAGAATCATTGCTAGAGCTGGGTGAGCCCCGCAGTTTACCCTGTACATGATAGGGAGCCTGCTGAAAAGCTCAGAAAAGCTGCAGGGCATTGTGGACCCCAGAAGGTTCTCTTTCCTCTGCCCAGGGTGGGGGAGGGGAGAAGAGCAGGAGAGAAAAGAGAGGAAACCGAGGCTCAGAGGCTGGGCAGCTTGTGTGCATGGGAGGTGGGGAGTTGGGAGGACTTGGGGGGGGGGAAGCTTCCCTGCGCCCAGCACTCCCTCCGACAAATGTCAACAGCCCAACGTTTCTAAGTGCATACTGTTCTCAAGCCAGGAGAAGAGAAAAGTCCCCGAGGAGCATCTTGACTGGGGCTTATTCCTCCGTCAAATGCAACCAGCTGGAATCCTTTGGAGGGGAAGAAATTGCCTTTAAGTGGGAATTATGCGGCGCAGTAGAGGCGGGAACAAATGCCGCGCGAGGCTATTCCTGCTGCCCCCCAGGTTTCCAAGCAGGCTCTGGGAAGCAGGTGGCCCCAGTGACCTAGCAGGCTGAGGGAACAAACACCCCCCCCCCCAGGCACCTTGCGGGCCTACTCTGCTGCCCCCTAGTGGCCACATCCTTGCCTGCACTGGTCCAGGGTGGTGGACATGCAAATCCAATCCTCCCCTCCCCTCCTCTCCCCTCCCCTCTCCTCTCCTCTTCCATTCCCTTCCTTTCCCTCCATTCCCTTCCTTTCCCCTCCATTCCCTTCTTCTCCTTTTCTTTCAGGCCTCCCTGGCCATCTATAGGGCAAGGGCATCTCTGGGCACAGCAGATCCCAGGTGGACCTGGGAGGGCTGGACAGGTGGGAGGGGAGGGCTGATGATCAGGTTGCAAGGAAACTTTCTGCACAAGGCCTGACCGTCCGGGGCACCTTGGCCTTGGCTGCAAAGCTGCAGGTGACGGAGGCTGTTTAGCTCACACTAGTCACAGCAAGCAACCCACGGAGCACGCCTCTGGGTCCCCTGCTTTTTCCCATGTACTATTTTGCCTCTCAGTTCACTCCACAAACAGCTCCTCGGGTCCACACTGGGCACATGGCGTCATTCATTTGTTTGCTTGTCCAATCACTGGAGCGGATCTTGATGGAGCTCCACTCTTGGTTCCCCCTGCGAGACACTGTACAGGGCTGAGGGACACACACAGCGGTGGGCTTCTCAGAATATCGACAATGTTCACCACACACCCGTGAAACTCTGCGAGCAGAAGGAGAGAAAACATACACAAATCAAGTAAGGGCCGGCGTTGGTGTCCAATGTCTCGCTCCAGGCGGCTTTGTTAGGAAACTTCATCTTGACTTTCAGATTGGGTCTTGATCTCCAGCCTCTTTTCCTGGGGATGCATTCACTGCTTCAGAGCTCACAGAACTTCCGGTCAGTCCCAGGCCTGACCCCAGAGGCCTTTCCAAAAGCTGCCAACACAGAGAGCAGCTAGAAGCTAGGCCCAGCCAGCCGGTGCTTGTTCAGTGACAGAGGATCCGAGGCTGGCCATGGCTTCCAGTCCCAGGGCTGGCGAAAGAGTTCCAGATGTTTCTCAGATCAAATAGTATTTCTCTGGGGGGGGGGGAAGAAAAAAAACTGTGTAGATTGCTGCACAGAGGGGGTACATAGGACCTAAAATGAGAGTTCGGTGGGTTTGCATCTATTTGGAAAAAGTCCCCAAGCAAGTGTGTGCCTATGGGTGTGTGTGTGTGTGTCTGTGTGCACATGTCCACTCATGTGCATGCACTAATGTTTACTTGAACTCAGGGTCTCTGTTTTTTTGGTTTTTTTTTTGTCGGTCATGGGGCTTGAACTCTGGGTCTGGGCGCTGTCCCTCAGCTCTTCAGCTCAAGGCTAGCACTCTACCGCTTGAGCCACAGCATCACTTCCAGTTTTCTGGGGGTTTATT